AGCGTTTTAAGGTGTACAATACTGTAGTATATTATTTCGATCTATCTCGTAGGGTTCAGCCAGCGTTTGCAATGTAAGCGCAAAAACGACATCACATTAGAAACCTCTAAAATTATCCGTGTTTCTCTGCTATATTATGCATGTATTATACATATAAACTTTCCTCTTGAATCACTCTATCTATTAAAAAAAAACCGTATTAAAATCCGTTGCGTAGTTTTAAAGATTTAAGCATACATAGGGACAGACAGCAGGAAGCGATTTTGTTTTATACTATGTAGTGATTATGATGTGCACAATGATTCAAGTATTACATTATACAAGATTCTAATAAATAGTAAAAAAAATAATAATAGGGAGAGTTTAAAGGTTTCATGAATTGACGTTTATATAAAGCAAGTTGATTTTTTTTCATGTGATTTCTCGATCTTGGCAAACGAATCTATTTTGGCTTCCTTTACAGCCAAGTTAATGCACTTTGCCCACGAAAATAAACATCACGGGACCAGACCCGCCCATACATTTCTAAGCATTAGTTTAGTTAGTTTTTTGTTATTGAAAATTACGTATTTTAGAACGTTAAAGAAAAACTGCGTCACGAAATGTATGAAAATGTTACAAGGCTTTTATAAGACGTGATTGATCAAACTAACTGGACTATATATATATATAAAAAGTAATTCATATCTTCCTTATACCATTTACTTTTCGTATAATTTACCTAGAGAATGGCCTTAATTTAATTGGGAATAGTAAAAGGAAATTTTAACAGCACGCGTTTTCTTAAACGTTTCTTTTAAAAACAAGTTATAGTTTGCAGTGGTTAATTAAACATAGACATAAATCCAAAATCCATTTGAGCGAAGACGAGCAACAACTGTATCTTGGCACAAATTATAAAAAAAAATTAAGATATATGTTAAATTATAATTTTCAATTTTAAATTCAAAGAAAAGTGAATTATGTCAAATGCTTATGTAATGTGATAATTTTCCTCCATTGAATTGCGAATACAATGAAGTTATATTTTTATAGTTAGGTACAACAGTATGTAATGTCGTTTAGTCTTTGCTTTTTTTGAAAATATCTCTGCTAAATTGCATATCTTACTAGAGCAAATAATTGCACACTCAACTTGAAATTTACACGTAATAAATAAATTAGATGTGTTTGCATGATGATGAAGACTATTTTATTGAATATATTTCACGCTAATAATTCTATAAATTGTTAGATTTAGTCCTGCTAATATATTAATTTTCTTTAAACACATTTAGGTTTACCAGATTTAAAACTTGTTAAAATTTTTAATAACGAATTTAAATGAAAATTTATAAAATATTGTTGTTTAGGCTTCTATGCGTGGAAAGCACTTGTATGTACTTACGTGAGTGTAAGTGAACACGATTTTTCATACAGTTAGCATCTTTTTTAATTGAAAAACACAGTTTTTAAACATTCTGAAAAATTATACATATTTGTAAATAAATAACGAATATACAGAGTACCAATTTTCTGTACTTTTGCGTGGTATCTCCCTCATTTTTGAAGATAAAGTTTTTTGGAATTATTAAACAAAAATCTTTTTAGGGCATACCAGCGGTATGTATTGCAAATTAAATTTAAACATTATAATGGAACTTGGAAAAGTAAAAATTATGAGTGAAATACTATAAAATTCCGTTTTCAACTACTCTTGTTTGTTCTCTTTTCGTAAAAGTATAAATTGAAATGAGAAATTTTTATATAAATACTTCTATTTTTACGCATTTTTATCACTTGCAGTGCTAAAAAAATATTCGTAGATAGTTTTTAGCGTTTATTTTAGACAATATCTAAGAATATTCTATACATAAAGGTTGTTAAAGTATGTCCAAGATTTTCATATTATTAAAATAATTGAAATAGTATTTGACCGTTAATCTTCAACTTTTTTTTTAGATATTTGAAATAATCACGTTTCGTTTCTTTTTAATATTTGTTATCTTATTTGGACATATATAAATATACGCGTACAGTTCTATATAAAAATTGCGATTCACATAAATATACATAATATGGAACGATAAGGCAGCCTCAGGTTCCAATCTCCAGCATTCATAATTTTAATCAGAATTCAGAAATTTCATTTTCATAAATAATAAACTATGTATTAACTTATTGTTATGTTAATAGACAAGCGAAGTGTAGACGCTCCTTTATGCCTGCTACTTTTTAGTCCCACGATTATTTATTCTTAAAAATGTAACACAGACTAGCAAATGCAAATACTTTAAAAAATTGCAACTGGTCCTACCGTACGGACAGCAATGAACCTGGGTGCACTTGCGACTAAACTGTCTTAACTCACTGACGATCATCTATTATGTTGTGCATAATTAATTGATACATTGTGGTTGTCAAACATGTCATATTATGAGTCGTCTGCTGCAAAGGAAGAAGAAACGTCACATAGTGTTTTGGATACGGAAAAAATTATTTCCGAAATTGAGAAAAGAAAACATCTCTGATTTATGATAAGGTGAAACTAATAGTGTTTCTTCGGCTTCCTTTCAGTATTATTGGCATTTATTCGCACTAAAAATGCCACAGTACACATTCTGTGACGCTCATATTGCAAATGACTAAAAGCTGCGATTATTTGGTCGCAAGTGCGCGCATCGGTTTTACTGCCTGCGACTGAAAAATCTCAGTTTAGATAAATCCGAAAATACATTTTAAGATTAAATTTCGATCTTATCTAACCATAATCTACTTCCAAGAGGTGTATAAAAAATAAATAAGTAGATAATTTTTAGTGTTTCGCAAACTTTTTGTTCCTGCTGTATTCTTTTTTTCTTTTATATTTGCTGTCTTTCTTCCACTCTCGCATCTTATATTAGCTTATTGCAATTGATCAGCCAGCAAGCCTGCCTTTTAAACAATTAAAATATAAAATTTTTCAATAGAAAAAACAAAAATTTCTTTGGTGAACTCTATTAAATGTAGTTTATTAAATATATATAGAGTATTAGCTTCTAAAAAAACATATTTTTAAAGATAGCGATGTTCATGTATATTCAGACGTTTAAAAAGTCATAACTCGAAAAATATGAATTGTAAGAAAAAACTTCAGACCTTGTTTATCGAGATTAAACCAAAGAATATAAAAAAAATGCTCTAGTCAAAAAATGTTGTTTTTTGCTATTTGTTAAAACAATCGTGATTTAAACAAAACCCGACCGAATTACCGACTGGCAATCTATATCGTTGTATTCAGGAGAATCTTCTGAACAAAACTGGGTAAAAAAATTTAATCCCACCTACCCGCCCATATTGCCTAGACTATAAGAAGTAAAACAACTTTTTCTTGCTAAGAAGTTTACAAGCAAGATAACAAAGTTTGCTTTGTGCGTAAAAAATACATTCAAGTGTGGCCCGTACTCAGCTATACTTCGTTTACTTTCTGTAGCGATGTGACCTTCAGTTTGACCGGCGCGAAGTAGAAAAGAGCAGCACCAGGCCAAAAAAGGAAGGAAACAACTCTCGGCGAAAATCCTAACGCGTATAATCCGTACAGTACTGCACGGAAAATTTGACCATTTTATCCACTACAATTGCATTGCTCAAATGTGCTGTTATTGATACCATTTACTACTGAAAATACCAACGAGATGTTTATTTATATTTGAAGACATATTAAAGGCTTTAACGCTTGTTTTCGACTCGCACTAATATTCATGATTGAACAAAACTTTTGGCAGGTACTGTACGAAAAAGTATGTTTAAGGGACAAGAGTCGAGAGTATAATGAGCTTTTTCTTCCTATCTAAAATTTTGCCAGCGCGCATCCAAGACATTGAAAGGGGTACATCGCTAGAGAAAGTAAATAAAGTATAATTTTCTTTGAAATAAACGCATTTCACATTTGTATGAATGAATCACGTTTGACACAACAACTGTAACAATCGGAACAAATCGAATGTGTATAGACCTGTCCTGTGCAGTTTCTGGTAGAAACCCAAGACTTTTCACTTTATTTTAAAGCAACGTAAAAACGATTTTTTGTTTCACGTCCCACTGTACGACCGTGTCGAATGAAATAAGGAGGTTTGGTTGTGTGTTTGTGAAGTAGTAGCTGTGTTCGTGAAAATAAATCACAGGCTCATTTTTTTCGTTAAATTCTTCAGTTGTTTAGTAGCTTACTTTACTTATGCTTTTTTATCACTTTTGTACGACTTTTGATAACTTTTTGTTATTTACGACACAATTTCGTTGACACATTGACATTATCCGAGATTTTACATCTGTCCAGAAATTATAGTACTCATCCTGCCGTCTAATATTTCCTAATACATACGAGGTGTATAGTAGTACTTCGTGATAATAATAATATAAAAATTTATTAAAAAAATAATAATTTAATGCAAATTATGTAATACTATATGATTTAAAAAAAAATAAGGCACTTATGATAATTTACGATATTCACGTATTAATAATATACTAAATAAGATGCATATAGTCAAATTCAGTTTGTATATTTATTTTATATGTGACGATAAATATGTATTTATATATAATACAACAATTTTGTTAAGATATATCGGTACTGAAGTAGAAATGGATATTTAAACGCTGTTGTAATCGTTTTCTTTTTCAATTAACAGTTTAAGTGTGAGTTTACAGTTTACCGTGCCAATTTACAATACACAAAATAAATAAATAAATAAACCAATCGGTGTCATACATTGTCAAAAACTATAGTTTTCAAATGAAAAAACAATCCAGCTAAAACACAATTTCTATTTTGTAAAGTACATAGATCGATAATAAAAAGGTTTTTATTAGACCAAGTCTTTTTGTCCATAAGCACGTTAGGTAATTTAAGATCCTAAAATGATATTTTAAATTTGAATTTTAACATAGACGAGCATATTAACTGCGAATAAAAAAAATTGAAGCATTAATACATATTTAAAATTTTAAGTAGAATAATTTGTTTTGTTTTTATTTTTCAGTGGAGGAGTGAAATTTTCCGACCTGGATGAAAATGAAGGTAAGAAACATCATTTACTGTAAAAGTAAACAATTTTTTTATGAAAATAGAGACTTTAGGGTTCCTGTGAAAGTTTACAATTGTTATACTCATTTAAATGGGTAACTTTATAAACACTTCAAAAGTTATTATCTTTTTTTTCAAATGGCAACTTGCAATAGTATCTACTAATTAATTGATGCTTACCTCAAAGAGAGATTAATCACTGGATATATCACGACAAATAATCATCTACCAGGTCAGGGTCGGTAAACTTTTAAGCTGGAACCTGTGTAGAAAAAAGTTAGGATAAAATTTGGGCCAAGGTCATTAGCTAATTTAATTCTCGGCCCAAATTCAGTTAGCTTTTCCGGCCCACTAATAAACAGAAATTGATCCAATTTTTGATCATTTAGTTCTCCCAATAATATTTTTACAGAATTAATTTAAAGATATTAATATAAACATTATCAAACGCATTATTTGGTACATTATTAATTTTGACTAAAAAAAATTTTGTCATACTAGAAGTCATTTGTAATAAAAATATTTTTTCATGAATTTCATAGAGCCATTAATTTTTAATTCGACTTTTACATTTTATTTCGAATTTGTTTCGGATAAAGAAGAGGTAATTAAATAAATACTTTATTAATTTTTATTTATATTGTTATTATGTTACAAAGTGTGGTATTATGCTAAACAAGACTGAAATTAAATTAAAAAATCAGTGCGAACGGTGACCTTGCATTTTTTCTAGAAAGTTTTGGTAAGTCCTGCTCATAATTAGCAGCTTGACTCTATATTTTGATTAGTTTTTTGGTTTCTTAGCTTGTTTTTTATTAAGTTCATAGAAAAGCAAACTTGTCAAACGAATGTGTTGACCCAATGATTGTCAACACACAGAAGGTTTTTTTTTGTTTGGTCATAACATTCCGGAATATATCGAAAATTAGTCCTTTATGCTTAGACACCCCTTTTAGAGCTGTCCACTTAAGCTGCGATATCAAGACATTTTTGCCATTCCAGATTTCTGAGCTACTACTTAGACTCGTAAATTTTAGCTCCACAAATCTTTGTTTATTTATTTTAATCTAGCAGTTGGATTTCAAATGAATCAGCATTCATATTAAATGGAGTAAGTGCCAATAAAAGCACTGTTTTCAATCAATAATGTGTCTAATAATGTGTTCATCTTCTATTAAAACCATCTACTTCTGCCAGTAATGAAAATGCAGCGTTTCCTTTTTCTTGAAGCTTTAGATTTAGTTCGTGGAGATGCATTGCGAGTTAGTCATAAAGTGCTAATTTTTTATTCTAGGTATATGCGTGCGCTGCGTGTCTGTCCGTTTCGCTTTAGCTTTTAATTATTTTAAGGAATTTGACGAGCCACAATTGTTTCTTGAAAGAATAAGATACGGCTCGCAAGTCGCGGTTAGCCGACCCCCTGTAACTGAGCCAAATTAGCATCAAGTAAGACTGAAAATCTGTTAAGCAAATTAGTATTTTGTCTTTTAAATAATGTATTTGAACCAAAAATAACTGTAGATTATATTTTACACATACATAAGTATAATAAATATATCTACATACAAGGTCTGCTCAAAAAGTATTGCGAATTTTATTATTTATTTATTCATGAACATCTATTTTGTCCCCACCAGATATTATACACTTGCGCCAACATTTTTTCCAATCCTCGAAGCACTTCAAAAAATCACTTTTTATGATCTTGTTCAGCTCCTTCTTCTGTGCCGTCTTTATCTCCTCAATCGTAGCGTAGCGTCGTCCTTTCATGGGCCTCTTCAGTTTTGGGAACAAGAGAGTCACAGAGGGCTAGATCTGGGGAACACGGTGACTGCGGAATTTTTTGTGTATTGTTTTTGCCCAAAAATTCGCGCACAATCAACGATGTGTGAGCAGAGGCGTTACAGTGCAAAAGCCAATTTTTATTCTTCCACAAATCCGGGCGTTTCTTTAATGTTTTCGCCTGTTGACCTGCTCGGGCTTTCGGTACGCTGTTAATCGTTTACATCCTCTCGACCCTCTGAGATCATTTTGTACCACCGATAAACGTTGCTTCGGTCCTAGGTAGCTTCACTATATGCTACAGTTTTTTACACAAAATTTGATACAGATTCTTTTATCCTGTGGAATAGGCAAAAATCGAAGACGAGTCAAAACACGTGCAAGCAAAGCAGCTATCAAAACATCCAACATGGCCGAACTTATCGGTATAAGTGAGAGACATGATTACCAACATAACTCTTACAAAAAAATCGATAATCGAATATACGTAACCCCGCGGAAATTCAAAATTCGCGATACTTTTTGAACAGACCTCGTATGTATGGCGTATGAATATCAACTGAAGTTAAATTTTATGATTAAGTAATGATTCAAGCTGTTTTGTTTGATATTTCTACTTTCCTAAAAGTAAATTCTTCATTGGTAATGTTTCCTGTATAACTTTTCGTAAAAGTATTTAATGCTTGCATGTGTACAGGCAGTAAAATTAATAAATCGATTGCTTACGTTACCAATAGGGTTTCAAAAAATCATACTACCCTCGCAACACAAGAAATAACATTATGTAAATTACAAGTGTGGGAGAATTTATTGGATTATATCAGGTAACTGAAGCAGAAAATGTAAAAAAAAAACTTAAAACCGTTCTGTATTATATTTCAGCATATCAAATTTTTATTCGTACCTATCTAACATGATTTACGTATGTATATACCTTTAGAAATCACAAGATGTTTAACGTCACAGCTAGATACATATGTATACTTAATGAATTTACTTATTCAACGCCTTTGTAATAAAAAAGCAATGACTAATACTTTTTTTTATTTTATCGTCAAAGCGTTGTATTATACTTCGTTTACTTTCTGTAGCGATGTGACCTTCAGTTTGACCGACGCAAAGTAGAAAAGAACAGCACTAGACCGGAAAAGGAAGGAAACAACTCTCGGTCCAACTCTTAACCGGCGAGGAGCGTATAATCCGTACAGTGCTGCACGGAAAAATTGACCATTTTATCCACTAAAATTGCATTGCTCAAATGTGCTGTTATTAGTACCAATTACTACTGAAAATATCAACGAGATGTTTATTTATATTAGAAGACATATTAAAGGCTTTAACGCTTGTTTTCGACTCGCACTACTATTCATAATTGAACAAAACTTTTGGCAGGTACTGTATGAAAAAGTATGTTTAATAAACAAGAGTCGAGAGTATAATGAGCTTTTTTCTTCCTACCTACGATTTTGCCAGCGCGCATCCAAGACATTGGAAGGGGCACATCGCTAGAGAAAGTAAATGAAGTATAATTTGCTTTGAAATAAACGCATTTCACATTTGTATGAATGAATCGCCTATGGGTCCCAGGCGGTGCATACGTGGAAACCGGCAAAAATGTTTTCTTCGATATTAGGTAGAGTCCGGTCCTGCGCACAGTAATGTTAGATATGTTGGTATTTGTACCAGTTTTTAATCATTTGTACCATGTAGCAAGACATTACGGACTTCATTCGCAGATTTAAAAATTTGTGTGTTGATAAAAAACTAATAACAATTGTCTTGTATCTAAAAAAAATATGACAAATGCGGAAGGTGGGATGGTAGAACTGTTCCCATTATGATAGGGACCGTCATGTCTCCCGTATGCAAAATAGTATTGGCACCCCATCCATGTCCAGTTAAAATTTGCTTCGTCGCTCTCTCAACCACAAGGTATTTGGTCGTCACTTGGGGATGTTTCGAAAGATTCAGTTATATCTTCTTTCAATGTCTTTTCAAGTTCTGTGTATTCTAGTGGAGTTAAAACAAAGGTACACGCTCTAGCTTTTTTCAAACAGTCTCTTGGCTTCTTTGCTATCGACGTGTGGATTTATTTAGTGATCCAGACAATTTATGATCAGCTTCTTCACGATGTAAATGTCTTTTTCTGTTTTGAGCCCCAGATAACATTCTTGGTCTTTTTTACATCATCTAAGATCAAGATGTTGACATTCTAATATACAATTTTTATCGTATGTATATACACTTTCATATTTACATTGTTTATTCTATACTGAAAAGTCACTTTTTTTATTTTTTATCAAAACACAATAGTAGAAGTATTACAAATTTTGTGTAAGACACTATAATGATATTGAAGCCCCTATTCATAAAAAAAGGTTAGTGTATTCAGACAGTGCTCTCACATAAAGTATTTCGAGTAAATCTGAGCTGAATTTCTCCATGGTTTGAAATCAATCAAACACATCAGAACTTTTGAATATTTTTATTTTTTGGGACTAATTTATGACTGACTGGAAATAACCAATGTAAAGAACGGGTCAAATTAATTCAGAAAACGATTGGACATGTGCTTTTATAAATTGTTAAATATGTAATAAAATATATGCATTCATTTTATTTGGACTTTGCCCGACCTTTTCTATCTCAATTTGTATATGTGTTGTAGTGTAGGGGTAGCAGAACAATTGGAACCAACTGTCTGTTTAGAGCTGTAAATAGTTTAAGGTCAGACGGGTTTATTGTATATTTTGTATTCATTCAAGTACTTTCAACCTTGCAATGCCATGAACCGTTAGGTAGATGATCCTTCTAGGAAGGCCATCGGATGCGTCGTCATTTTTTATTCGTTTATAATAGGGCGCAATGAAAAAGCCTTCCTTCTTATTCACTTCCATAAAGTCCTCTGTTCTCCTGTTCTTTCTAATACCTCTTCATTTCTAACATTCTCTATCCACAGTATCCGCATCATTCGCCTTATTTAGCACTACATAATATTAAATCTCACAAACGTCACTAGTAAAATGATGAATAATCCTGAAATTTTGAAACTTTAAAACATTACAAAGGTATGAAAAGAAAGACTATGTACTTGGCGACCGTAAAAATGTGAAATCTTTACGGTTGGATATTAATCCTGAAGTGAATCTTCAAAATCATCTTGCTATTTTAAATTATATAGGTATTTAAATAAAGTCATACTGTAACGAATCCGAAAAATCCAAATCGTAATTTTCAACGTATTTTGCAAAAAGATTACAATATCACTACTAGATAATTTGAAGATAAAGTATGAGTAGTAATAACAACATGATCTAAAGAAAAAATCTTAGCATTCGTTTTTCTGTTAAAAAAAAAACTCGAACAAGTAAATTTACGGATTTTTAAAAAAAAATATTTATTTATTATAGGAATAGAAAAGGTGGAAAATTTAGGTTTCGTCCCGGGTAACAGAAATTCACGTTACGCTACTGTCAATAATATTTACATTACCCTATTGTATTGTATTTGTTAAACCGAATATGTATAATTGTCTATTTCTTGTAGGCACATTCTCGGCAAAATTTTGCCTGGTAGCAGATTTGTCTGTTTCACGTAGCACGTAATTAATCGAATATTGGAAAAGAAAGTAATGTAACCTAACCCAATTCTAACAACCTTAAATGTTTATGTTATAGCTTATGTTAGGATATTTTTTTGCAAATATAGTAGATTATTTTACCTATTACATCGTCATCATCATCACAGAGTCGTCAGCCGTGGTTGGACACGCATTTCCAATCTTTCCTACCTTGAGTCAATCTTCGCATTTAGCCCTTCATGCTTGAGAAGGCTTCCTATTAACCTCGCTTATTTTTTTTTTTTGGCTTCCATAGTGCCATCTGTTCTCCTCATTATTTTTGTTCATTTTTCAACCTATTAGTTGTTTTATAATTCTTGTTTTTTACACAATTTGTTTTTTGACGACAGAGATTGTGGTTATATTAGGGTAATAGTTTAAATTTAAAATAGTAACTATCGGTATAGTTAAGTTATCACTATAACTAGATAGTTTACGAAATTAATAATAATATTTACTTCGTTTTTAGATTTTATCACGTAAATAATATAAATAATTTGTAAATATAAACTACAAAGAAACAACTTTGTGCTTTCCGATTTCCTATTTAGATATTTACTGAATCAACTAACCATATTGAAAAGTAGAACAAAATTTGTTTTGGTAAATGTTTAGATGATGGGAGTGGGATCGAAAGAAGAGGTCTCCCCCACCACTGTACCATAAAAAGTTCGTGGCGGTCTCACCTCCATAAAAAGTTATGGGAGTTAGATGGGGGTGGGGGTAGGGGGGATCAAAAGAGGGTGGTCACCTGAGTAAAACCCCATAAAAAAATTGCGACGGTCTCACTCCCATAAAATGTTATGGGGGTTGAATGTTGATTATTTTGACAATTTTCATACACTATAATTCAAATAAAATTCAATAAAAAAAT